GTCTTTCAACGGACTCGAAATTTTGGTTCGTGGATTCCACTCTAGATTTAGAGTTTTTAGAACCGGGTGGATCGACCGGTTCTAAAAACTCTAAATTTAGAGCCAAAAACTCCAAATTCTGATGGACTGACAGACCAAAAATTTAGAGATCTAGAATAACGGGAATCACCCAATAGTACCGTACGGTACGATACAGTACTCCACTCCTATCATTTCTACGAGAAGATACCAAAAAACTGTACGACTAACGACTACAGGTAGGTTTCATTGTAGTGGGGTACGCAAGCTCTGTACGAGTACGTACGATTTAAGGGCGCCTTACTTCTCTCCAAATCGCATTTTTCATTTTTAAAGGGTAGTAGTATTCGCCGATGGAACTTGACAGTGATCAAAAGGCAAACGAAGGACGAAATACAGTACTGGCAGTCAACACCCACCAGCACTTTCTATCCTCAAAAACTTGCAATTATTGTGAGTCGCACCAGTTTATTTAGCTTTCCGAAAGACTTTGGGTGCTGGTCTGGACGATCGTGTCGTGGGTGGGTCGTAGTATTCAGAATAGATCGCGATTATTTCTTCACGAGCAAGCTGTCATCGTTTCAGTTATGGTGCCTTCTTCTACTACCAAGAAGAAATCCGTTGCTACGAAACGCAACAAGAATTTCAAGTCTACTACATCGTTGACATCTAAAGCAAAATCAAAAAGGGTGACGAAGGCGAAACAAGGCAACGCGTCGTCTTCCTCCCTGTTGTCTAATCGAAAGCAAAAACCATCCCTGGCTGCAACAAAAGCGGCAACAAAACCCACAGTGCTCACCCCAAACTGGCCCGTAACGTCGCAAGCCCCGAGATTTCCTGCGGAAGCATCCGCCCTACGACCCGGTTCGTTGCTACGAAACAACTGCAGTGGATCGGACATTCAGCTGGCACGGTCGGCATGTGCACCAGTGAATTTCGAGAAGGGAAAGGGAAAGTTTTTGTTAGTCTTTCCGGGAAACTTCTCCTTCGGGGGAAGCAAACCGAATGACGAAGCCAACCGAGACAATCCACAACCAAGCGGGGCTTTGGTTGCTACCGCGTTGGGCGAAGACGACAGTGACAAGAGCTGTCACGCCGGGGACCAAGGGCATCCCACCCCAGCGAAAACAACCGCGAAAAAGGCAGGTTTACCGAGCAACGGCACCGTCACCGCCACTCCAACTATGGGGCGGATCGAAGGACTGAGAACGAGTACGCCCTCATTCCGGATCCCGTTTCCGCATCTCAAAAAGAGCCTCGTCTTTCCGGGTAAAAACATTCCAACGACCTCGAAATATCTTTCCCTCTCATGTTCCAATAAGAAAAAGGGCACGGTACAATGCAAGGTATGTTGATTGCATCGATAGTGGCGTTTATTTTGTTGTGTTCAAGTCTTTGCATTGCGGATCCTCGTAGGTTTGCGCGTGCGTGTATAAATCCGACCGTGATGTTCTAGCTTTTGATTCCTCACTGACCTTTTCTTGAATGCGATCTTGCAATAGAATATATTTTCGTCCGCAATCGTCTTTGGGATTCCGAAGTGGGAGTCATCATTAGTAACAGAAAAAGAAATCTCGATTTCATATCCAAGTGCCTCACTTTCGGCTTCGGTCAATGATAGCAACGGCGAGAGTGATGAAAAGAAGAACGATTCTGAAACTCTTCCCAACTTCTCACACTATGGTGGGTCAGAACGAACCATCGACGGTGCAGCTAGAAGTAGGAGCAATGTCACTAAAAAAAACAAAAATACGAGCAGAAGCGATAGCCAGATGAATAGGATTCCAATTTGGTCGAATCATCGCGACATCGACGACAACAGCAACAACAAGCAACATTCTGCCTTTGATTTTTCACGTATGCCAAAATCCGAAGTAAAGGCTCCACTTCCCAAAAGTAAACGAGAGACGACTAAATATCACGATTCCTCTTCCGGCAACGATGACAATGACGATTCGAGCAATGGTACGATAGACGATGACGATTCTGACGCTTCCTTCAGAATAGGAACGCCAAAAAGAAGGAAAACAATAATATCATCATCGACAACAACAACTGATTTCAGCAACGTTTCCGCAACAAAGACACGATCGGCTCCGAGACGTCAAGCATCCGAAAAGAAAAAGCGATACGTTGAACAGCAAGAAGAGACATCGGATGACGATGGAGAATCTCTTCATGATGAAGAATCACCTTCGAATAGCGTTAGCGAGGACGATGAAGATCAGGCAGTCGATAACAAGAAATCAACAACAAAAAAACACAAAAAGAATACACATGCGGCACATTCCTCATCACGACAGCAAAAGATAGTGAAGAATCAGGCAAAGGGGGCTGGGGAAAAGTCCGTCATAAAGAAAGACATCATTGATGTTGACAACGGGGGCGACGATTGGAGTGCTTCTGATAGCTCGTTCGCTTCAGTAGGTGATAAAGATACATCTGAAAGTATTGTGCGGCGAACGCGTGCAAGACGAATCACCAGGGTAACAAAACAGACTAGCTACAAGGAAATCAACGAGTCCGATTCAGAAGAAAACGACGATGACGATAACTCTGAAAGCGAGGAAATGAAGAAGAATTCTTCGTCAAAAGCAAAAGGTAGTGATCCAGACAAAGAGCGTCAAGACAAGACAAAGAGGTGTTCGGCGTCGACAGCACCGCGAGGACGTCCAAAGTCCCATAAAAAAAATGCGTCTAGTGGGAAACGGAAGCCCAGTCCATCTAGACTTAGAGCCGCAGCATCTAGGTCGAAGAGGCAGAGCATCCAGGAAACCACGAATAGCAGCAATGGCGTTGGTTCCAATGGCGCAAAGCTCATTACTCAATCGCCCTCTTCGTTTTCGTCCCCTACTGTGGGTGCTAAGAGTCCCTTTAGGAGGCGCCATAAAAAATCATCGCCCGCAAAGAAGGCGAGAATAAATGTCCTCGATCTGACCGAAGACGACGCATTTGATTTTGGATGATCACTTCTTGGTGTAATGTGCAGTATCTTGAGGTATGATCTAAGCACTATTATTCTTTCCTGTGGTAGATTTTGCTTTGTTTTTAGTTTGATCTTTCCTGTGGAGTCTCTCGGTTCTAGCAATGTCATCTTGAACATGTGCAGAATGGAATTGTCTAGGTTTCTATAGTAGAATCTTTACCTTTGAATCCTCGACTTGAGTACCGATTGAATATGCGGGCACTGGAGCTACTGAAGGCAAGCCCCGTACTGGCAAGTTATTGGCAATTCCCGTACAAATGCTATGAAACTTTAGTTCATTTTTATAGGTAATACCTGTTATATTACCTATTAATGAAATAAAAACAAGTTCAAATTGTCATTCAACTTCTGAAAATATTCTGGCCCAGAGAAAGGCTGAGGGCAACACCAGGATCTTGTTCTTGTTGACTATCAACAAGATGCATTCTGCAGCCAACACCATCAACCTCATCCTTGGAAGAAACACAGCACCAGGGGACACATTTTTGCTTGAGTATCAGACTTTTAGGGGGCAATTCAGTTGAGTATGGAACAACAAGACGATCCGCATGTCAGATCTGAATCAGAGCAGCTCCAACAAAAAGCAGCAATAGTAGTAACCACAGCTCAATAGTGAACACAACAAGGGCTTTCCCCCACAATATTAATAGTASTAGTAAGCTCCACTAGCATGATGGCTGATCCTTTACTAACTCACGTACTACTAGTACTACCAGTAGTACGTCACAGTATCAGACTGTTACTACTACTAGTGCTACTAGTACTAGCAGTAGGTGCTTTGCTCTACGAATATGAAGCCTCCGCACGCCAGATCCTTGAGTATGAATGAATAATGAAACAACTGTTTGCTTGAATAGGAAACCCTCCACACGCCGGTTGCTTGAGTATTAGTCAGACCGTTAGCGTTTTGCTTGAAGAGAGGTGTCCATGTGCCAGTCCCTTAAAATTGGCAAGTTCTCACCAGTTCACGGACGGACCTCGTCCACATCAGTCGTCAAAATTTTTCGTACCCTCCGTGAAATCGCAAATCGCAAATCGCAAATCGCCCTCTTCTACTCTTTTCTATTTTTCTCTCGCTCTCATTATATTCCACGTGTAAGGTTTGTAGTCGTAACCTTACTGATACATACGTATGCTCATACCGGTAGATTGATTCATTCATCAGATGATGCGAGAATGCACCCCTTTTGATATTTTGACGTTTTTGATGCAACATGATGGGAGATATGATGGACTCGTACGTAATGTATGAAGGAAGTATTTCACTGCACACTGTACCGTAAGCTTTTCGATACGTACAGGTACGGACGTAGGGCAGCTTTCCCTAGCAGTAAACAGACACGTTTCAGGGGAAAACGACGAACGTCGTGTCGACAGACACCGATTCAAAAGTTTCTAAGATAGGTGACGACGATACGGTTCGAACTGCAGCGACGAAGAGGCCGAGAAAGTAACCGCAAACACTAAGAGCTGCTTCTAGAAAAGTCAATACTTACATTTTGAGCCGGTTCAGCCACCCAAAAGATGGTCAACGTTCTCACAATTGCTTTGGGGGTTCTCGCTGCCCCCGCAGCTCTCGCTTTCATTCCTGTTCGATCGGCAGTATCGCCAGCAAAAAGCAACCAAGGGATGTTCCAGTTGCAATCTTCTACGGACGAGGATTCTGTTGGAAACGTTCACGGCCAAAAGTCTTGTTTCTTACCGTTAAAACAACTCGATCAAGATTACTACGCTCCTCGAATCGTACAGGTAAGGTATCTCGTCGAAGATCGATACTTCGTTGTACACTTTTCTGAGTATGCCTGAAGTCGACTTAAACCATCTAATTAGATTTTTTCTTCCAAAAGATTGCTGGCGCTTACCCCGGATTGAGCAGAACAGACTACGATGCCGTGACCTCAGAGGGTACTCCGGAACCGGGGCAATGGTCTTATGATTTCAGTGATCCCGACGGACCGCAACTCGGAACGGTTGCGATAGAGAGTAGTAATGTTGTGGCTTGCTGTGAGGACCCCGTTGTTATTATTGCAGAGCACACGGCGCTCAATGTTCCGCTACCCGAAGTTTTGAAAGACCCGGTCGACATTGTTGTTCTAGTAGACAGAGCAGCAAAACGATTTGCCGAGAGAAGATTTCTTGTACTTGATGTGCCAGGGAAAGGGTTGGTAATTGGTGCATTCCCAACTAAACAGGAGCTTCCCCAGGAAGCTGAGATCATAGGACAGGTCGTTCTTTGCCAGGTGCCATGGCTCCCGTGTATGAAACCTACCAAAACGGGATTCCTAGAAGCGGATGAGTATTTCTAAATGCTATAGTTCGAGAAACCCAATCCACTCTCAATTACTCGCTATTTTCACGTGTACTTTCGTCGCTCATATTATTATGCCCGTCATAATGTAAGGCGGGAGTGACATACGGAGATATGTCAAAGTGACCTCTTGTCAGAAGGACCTTGCGCTTGAGGAATGCTTTCAATCGCATTGTCAACATCGCTTGTAGAGCTAGTACTCGTATGCATTAGAGAAAGAGTAGGAAACAATGGAAGTATGAGTCAGTAGATAAATCTCCGAACTGCAGTTTTTATATTTAGAAGACGATAGAATCCATTGCTGAACTGTTTCCTTCGTTCAAATTCCATGGTAATGAACACTTTTGTGATTCTGAAATACTGAAATATTTGAGAACAAAAATCATCATGATAACCTTAGAAAGCCGACGAAGAATCACCCAAAATTAGTATCTTCCTTTTTGGTTGTCATAACTAATCATCAGTGATTGATATTTGTCATCGGTCCTCATCCTTCAGGCAAATGTCATTCTAACTTTCATCGTCTATTTTCAGTCCCATCACATGTCGGTTGTGCTAGTAATCAAGCAGTTTTCTACGCTATTACTCTATCAATTTACTACTACTTACAACAAACAGTGTAGTTACCTCACTACTAGAAAGCAGGCGAAGAATCAATCAAAACCAACATGCCCTTTTCGTTGTTATTATTGATCATTGATCATTAATTTGGTTGATCATTGTCATCGGTCATGATCCTTCAGATAATACTCGTACAAGTACGTACGTACTCGTACGTACGACTCAATTGGTATTTTTGCAAAATCTTTGAGAACATTTTTCTCATTAAATATCTAGGCAACTATTTTCTGTTCCACCTTCGGTCAAACCAGAGTTCATACTGTATCAGGATGCCTGCCATATCGCCTCCAGCTCCGTCTGACGGGGGATCTTTCGAGAAACCTCTGTCGTTGAAGGGAGCTATGGAGGCTGCCGACAGGGTAAGAAAGTTTCTGCTCGAACAAAAGGATCCAGCAGAGACGGAACAATGGTTCCCGCCTGGCACGTGGCAAGGCGCGGCTGCCTTTGCAGCTACGGGTTTGTTGATGACACCTCTGCGAGGATCATTACTGAGTGCCGCGGGCCCCCGCGGTCCCTTTCAGGGATTCGTGGATCTAGTCGTCACCCCTATTTTGGCGGTAGGCGCCGCCCAAGCCGGGTTGGTGATCGGGACTCTATACGGTTCGAGCCATTATTTGGAACGGGTAGCGATGGACGCTGCCACGAATACAAATGCAACGTTTTCCGAATACGGCACTGGAAAAATTGTGTCTGTTCGACAGAGTCAGGATGGCAAACTCAGTTTTTCTCCAACGACTGCAGACTCGGTTGCCCAGAGGGAACGATCAGTCGCTCATTTGTGCCAGCAGGTGTTGCTGCCATTCCCGTCGTCCACGGAAGATTCATTACGGACCCGATCTTCTCAACAGATGTCTACAGATGTGGCGCAACATTTCTCCTTCGGTTCTTGGGATCCGCGAACGAAAACCATGGAAAGCCTTATCCGCGCCGTTAACAACTGCCGGCAACGAGAACATTGATTTTCACAAGCGATTTGTATGGGGCATTTTTTCGCCGTTGGAAAATTCCCAGAACGATTGATATTAGCAGTGAGTCCATTGTGCAAAGAGAAAGAAAAAATACTCTCTATCTTGAAGAAAATAACAAAATATCTAAAATAAATTATGAGTTTTGTGGTATGAATTGATATACAATTGGACAGATCCATCAAGCCCTATTGGAGATTCAAAATATGATCAGGGCAACAAACGCGGGGGCTTCATTGAAACCATATCGTTGAGTCCTCTTCAATCAACGCTGCTATATGAGTGAGTTCTTCTTTTTATCCTCCGTCACGGGCGCGTGGATTTCGCTATCCTTGGTTACAAACTTTGACCCATCAATGACACCGCCACAACTTATCAGCCACGATTTTGCTTCTTCGTCGATCTCAACACCATCGTTTTCGATTCCRTCACTCTTTGAATCCCAATCGATCTCTTCCTCCTTCCCGTCGGTTGCACTCTTACGGTTGTAAAATCCAAGTTGTTCGAAACATACTTTCAGGTCAATGGACGGCCGGTAGGCCTTCGCAATTCTTCTCAGCGCTCGCAAACGCATAGTGGGAACCAAATGTTCTGTGAGGAATATACCCAAATTGGGGCTAGTCTTGTGCAAACGAAAGAACCAAAAATAATCAGACAAGGCAACGGCTTCACGAACTTTCAAAGCATGACGTATTGCGGGGTGATTCTGCTCCGTTGCTGTAAGCGATAACATGATGTGATAAATGTCGGAAGATCCACCAGAATACACTTCATTCGTGGAAAGAAAAACATAATATAAGAGCCTGTACGCAACAAATTCTTCTCGGTGCTTCCAATTACTGCAAATACCGTCACCACGAACAAGTACACTTTTATTCCTACTATCTGCGGATGGAAGAGTTTTATATAGCTCTTTGAGCTGTGTTTGGCATTGATTACTGGTCACGATGAGAAAACACGAAACAGAACGAAAGGTGAGAAAAGAAGGTCCAAGAGTCGACGCAACGTATATCACACGGGAGGCACCATTTCGCCTTGTGTCGTGCTTCGCATCCGCAATTGTTCCTCAGAACCCCGCATACTTACTATTCATTCAAGTCGCCCTCCTGCAACGCGATTCTCGCGTGTGTCTCGTACACATCGACGGCCAGATCGCCTTGGATTCGTTGCACGGTGCAATCCTGCCGAATTGATTTCAGCTGGCTGCAAAACCACAAGTAATCGTGCCGTCGTTGAGGACGAGAACTACCGGAACCATCGCTTGATGAGTTGTGTTCTTCTCCATCGCCACCGATGGTTTTCCACTGTTCTTCCGGCGTTTGCATCCTTTCGTGCAGGACCGGATTGCTGTGCTCGTCGCCCTTTCCACAGCAAAAATACTCGCTCTGCAGGTTCCGCAGGTGCTGCTGGAGAATCTCCAGCGGTCGAACCAATTCGGCGCGGGGGGGTGCCGTCAGCCGGAGGTATTGCTTTTCCAGTGTCCGGCACGTGCCCTTGACGGTCATCTGTTCAAAGTCCGTCTCGCTTAGCGCAACGTTAGTGCCTCCGATGGTGCCCCTGCCCATGTACCTGTCGTGGCCGGAGCCGCTCCCGCCGATTCCCATCCGGAGGTTCGCGCTGGCGGCCTCCCGGATCCCCCCGCGGCCCGAAAACCGGTTCGCGCGCTTGGTCATCGCCTGGTCCGAATAGTCCATGCCGTCGTTGTGCATGGTCCCCGGTATCGCAGGCTTTGTACGGTGGGTCTTCGGGTGGTGTTTCTTGGACTTTTTGTGGCTGCTGCTCGTGCCACTGGGGCTCGAGCGAGAGCCGGCATCGGGACCGTAGTGTCCAAAGGACRTAAAGTCTTCTTCTTGGTTTCGTTTACCATTTTTTTTCTTGCTTTTTTTACCTATAACTGAAGAATTGGAGARGGAATTATTGTTATTTTTGTTGCCGGGGCTATGGAGCTTCCGAAAATTGTTAGTGGAACGGACGGTTGTGTGGTTATTGTTATGATTGTTGTCGGTATGAGACGAAGCTGGGCCGTAATAGGAGTTGTTGTTATTTTCCGAACTACTGCCGGCCGTGGCATTCGATCCATAGTAAMTGTTATTGGTGCTATACTTATTTTTTCTTGCGGGGGAAGATGCATAGGAAGAATCGTGATCGTAGCAATGGCGCCCACTGTGGGACTGCGGACCATTGTGCTGCCGGTGGTGCGGTTGGTGCTGGCGGGGAGAATCCCCGCGTGCTGCCACCGGATCCGGGGTTCCCTCCCCGGTGCTGGTGGATTTCTCTTCCCCCGGGAGAGCTACCAGGGGCACCAGATCCCAGTTCTGGGACTGTAGGGTCTTTTTTTGAATGGCGGCAGCAATCAYGGATTCGATTTCGGTCTGAACGTATTTTTTGAGGCCGGGATCGTTCTGTACCCGGTGGCGKTCCATGTTTCGCTTGACGTACCTGGTAATCGATCCCGGCGGATGCTTGCCGCCGGAAGCCGACGCCGGCTGGTGGTTGACCCCGGTGCCAGAGGATCTCGCCGCCGAGGCGTAGGACTTCGTGGCGGCGGCACGGTGGCCGGAAGCGTCGTTGCTGTTGCTGCTGTAGTTGTTGGTGCTCGCGGCATGGTTGTGGGTGGGTGGTTCGTTCGGCGGGGRTGGCGGCAGTGCAAACGGAGCCGTCGTGGCGTGTGGGTTCTGATAAAAGTGGTGCGCCGCCCGGCTGGATTCCTCCGCGTAGTACTTGGCCCAGTTGCGGTCGTGTTCGGCGGTCTGCCGCTCGTCGCTGCTGCTGCCGCCTTGGTGTTGGTTCAGGGCATTTGTCAGTTCTTCGACCCGCTTGGTCCACCCGTGGTAATATCTGGTGAATGTCGGAACGGGATCGGCCGGAACGACGRTCTGGCTTTGGTGGTTCGGCACGGACGGCTGGTGTTGCTGGTGATATTGATATTGATGCTTTTGGTTCTGGTATTGCTGATATTGTGCATACATTGTCGACTGTTTCTTCTTCTTCTTCTTCTTCTTCTTCTTCGAATCGTCTTGCTTCCTTTTGTTTGGCTTTACCTTTTTCACACGCGGAACTCTTCGAGATACGAAATGGACTTGCTTGACGCCCGACGTCTCTTATATTCTACCGTACGGTGTCACAAAAGTAATGGGCCACCGTGTTTTCTCCTGCTTTGTTTCGGGGACTATTGTTTTGCAGCTGTGCTGTCGATGATTTCCTTTGCTTTCTCTTTCTTTGAAATCTTCTACGGCAATGATCTTGTTTTGTTGCGTTTTGTTSAATGCGCTGTCGTTTTGTTGCTGGACCGGGCGTTTGCTCGTTCTGRAGATTGTTTCGATGGAGGGAGATTGATTCCTTTAATTTTGGTGCTACTTGTACTTCGTAATTAGAGTAAAGTACCAGGTATTGTACCGGTAGTTCTCGCCAATCGTGGGAATACCGCACGTTTTCCAGCTGTATCGTAAGGTACCAGTASTCCCGTTCATACGAGCATCGCTACCGGTAGCGAGTTGCATCTTCATTGTCGATGATTGCTTTTGAGATTGATGTACGTACCTGTACCGTATGCATTCGTACAGCCCAGATACAAAGGGTTAGCACTTTCAAGTACGTACAGTACGGTAGGGTACGTACTAGGGCATGCCGGAAACGAACTGCATCGTGCTCTCTGCTGTACGGTACGGTAATAGTTCCTACGTCAGATTTCATGGAATCATAATATGATACTGTATGTACGTACCCTAATGGAATAGATCAAGTAGATACTGTATGGACTAAACATACAGTAGATATGGAATCAATGTACCGTGCCTACCTTTCGTCGGGTAAGGTACTGAACTTACTATGTACCGTACGATACCGGGGACGTTGRGAAACGACTCATAACCAGATACTTTGAGCTACTCAACGTACGGCGCAGCTACTGAGTCACGTGCCTACTCATAACCGGATACTTTAAGCTACTGGACCTACGGCCCAGCTACTGAGTCACGTGCCTAATGAAATATAAGCC